AGCTGGGTGAAGGAATTAAATAGAATTCTGTACTGTTTTTGCATCTTTTCTGTAAGTCTAAAATTATTTCAAAATCAAAAGTGTTAAAAACCCAAATCTCCTGTGCATAAGAATTCCAAATAATTTATGTATATATGCAGACCTTGAGGAGGTGGTGCATAACTCCACATTTTCTTAAGTGTGGGCTTCATAAAGTGTCTTCCTTCCAAAGAATACAGTTTGAAAATGGAGAGGGCAGGGTGCAGTGGCACATACCTGTAGTCTCAGTGATTTGGGAGGCCGAGGTGGTAGGATTGCTTGAGGCCAGAAGTTCAAGACCAGCCTGGGCAACATAGCCAGCTCTTGTTTGTAGCAAAAAAAAAAAAAAAAAAAAAAATAGCCAGGTGTGGTGGTGCACACCTGTAGTCCCAACTACTTGGGAGGCTGGGGCAGAAGCATCATTTGAGCACAGGGGTTTGGGCTGCAGTGATCTGCGATTGCACCACTGCTCTCTACCCTGGGCAACAGAGTGAGACCTCATCTCTTAAAAAAAAAGAAAAAAGAGAAAAGAAGAGTAACTTTACAGTGGATAAACTGAAGAGCTAGTACCTCAGCCAGGTGATGAAGATTAGCATCAACAATGATGCATCATGTTGATAGTAGGTACCCTTGATAGGAAGTGAGGAGAATCCTACTTTACCCTTGTGGTCTTTCTTCCCAAAGCATATGACCCCATCCTAATTATGAGAAAATCATCAGGCAAACCCAATGGAGGGATATTCAACAAAATATCTGACCAGTGTTCCTCAAAACTGCCAAGGACATCACAAATACGGAAAGTCTGAAAAACTGATATAGCCAAGAGAAGCCTAAGGAGACATGAGTATTAAATATAATATGGTATCCAGGGTGGAAACTTGTAACTGAAAAAGGACATTAGCTAAAAACTAAGGGCATCTGAAGATAGTGTGGATGTTATTAATAATGATGCAATGATATTGTTTCATGAATTGTAACAAATGTACCACACTACTGTACAAAGTTAATAATGAGGGAAACTAGGTGCAGGGTTCATGGGAATTATCTGTACTATCTTCATAACTTCTTCTAAATCTAAAACTTTTCTAAAAATGGGCTTTACTTTTAAAAAGATACATATTGCATGATTCTATTATGTAACATTCTTGAAATAACAGAATTATAAAGATGGAGCAGGCATTTGTGGTTGCTAGGGGTTAAGGATGGTGAGGGGAACTCAAAGGCGTGTGACCGCAGGGGAAGCTCTGTGGCTACGGTGCAATTGAATATCTTGACTGTGGTGGCTGTTTCATAAGGCTATGTACATGTGACAAAATTGCACAGATCTCTGCACTTACAACTGCCTGCACAAATACACACACATAAATGAAATCATGTATATGTGGTGAAATCTGAATAAGCTCTACGGATTGGGCCCATATCAATGTTTTGGTTTTTATATTGTACTGTGGTTGTGTGGGATGTTGGCATGGAATGGGATGGGGAGAGTTAGGAGATGCTTGCATAGGACTTAGCATATTCTTTAGCAACCTCCTGTGACTCTGTAATTATGTAAAAATAAAAATTTTAAAAGTCTTTGGAAAATTGAAGACTTTGTGAGACGTCAGATGCCAGCATCTTAGTAAACTGTCCTTACGAGGATGTGACACTGATCCTAGATGACACATTTGTGCAAGGCTGTTTTCTGGTGTCATTATTTTCTTCCAACTTCTCCTGGCAGAGAGCTGGGGCAATGGTTAAGTTTGGAAATGGATTCCAGAGTCTTCTAGAGTATAGAGTATTGCTGACTATAATGGTGGTGGTAGGATTTCCTGGATTTGCGAGTGGCTATGGAGGCCTTGAGGCAAGGGCAGCGTGGATGGTTTGAGTGGGAAGACTTGGCAGATACTATTCTGCTAGGAGTTTATTATGCTTTACAAAGATACACGGTAGATCCTGAATTTTTTTAAGGACTCTGTTCTCGCAAAAGAAATTTTGTGAAAATGAGAAAAAGATGCCCACTCAGGGTGGATACCACAGCAAAGGAGCAGATCTTGGCAAGAGAAGTTCAGGATGGATTTCAGCCCCCGATTTTGTCAGCCAAGTTCCCTTGTGCAGGGAGCAACCAGTGCAACCTTATATGACAGCCCTGGTTGACGATTATACTCTGTCATATGTGGGATTATTAAGGGCAGTTACCAAATGAGTGGTACCAGAGATAAAGAGGTGTTTCTGCACTGTGGTCATAAGATTTCCTGGAGAAGGTGAAGTTGGAATTACACCTTAAAAATAGGTAGAATTTGAATAGGCAGAGAATATAGCGAGGGTAGTCATGAACTAGGAATATTTGCTTGAATAAAACTCAACCAGGCCTTGTCTTTCTTGCTCATTCTTACATCTTTGGTACCTAGCAATGTGCAAACAGGGAAGGAAAGAAGGGAGGAAGGAATGAAGGAAGAGAAGAAGGAAGGAAAGATTTAACTGTATGTCCTCATTCTATTTTTTTCATTAACTTCTTCCATACTACCACAAAGTATTAGGATAGGATAGACTTCTAGGACAACAATCCCAGAGTGTTGCTGGCTTTTCACAATCATGGAGAATAAAGTTGAAAATCAAAGGTAGGTTCTGTTTGGAAGGTACAAAGATGAAAGAATCAGAGATTTTTGACTTGAAAAACATTGTAGACGCCATTGAGAGTTTAACCTCCCATCTTATATACTAGGCAGATGAGACTCAAAGAAGTTTTGCTCCCATATACAGAGTTCTTTAGTGACCAAGAACGAACATATTCCATGTCACTTGACGCTTATTCCAGTGCTCTGTTCCCTAAAAAGTAGAGAATTAAGCTTTAAAATATCAAGCTTTATAATGAGAGGATGTATGGTTTCCAACTCTTTTGAGGTTTTAACATTTATCATTTATTACTTCCCAATCTTCCCATATGTGAATGTAACACTTTGGAACTAGTTTTTTCTTTAATTAATCCAAAAGGAAAGCCCTTATGACACTTTAGAAAAGTATGTTACCACAGCTTGATAACGATTCAAAACTGGGTATTGCCATTTCCGTAAAAGTGAAAGTGTTAGTAATAAGGAATGGAAATGCACACGCCACTTTCACACACCACGGTTTTCCACCTGCCCACTCCCTTTCATAGCCGTTCATTATTTCGCCTGATCTTTAAAGAGCCTTTTATGACCGAGGGCAAATCTTTCAGCCCTGCGCCTCCCATTGTCCTCAAGCCCTATTGCATGTGTGGCAGGTTACATTTTTCCACGTGGCAACTAATCTTCAGCATCCTCACCGTTCTAGTGGTTGCCTCTCCCCAGTACAGGCAGCGAGACTGGTTTGTGCTTATCCCCTCAGGGCATGTTTCTGACAGCAAAAAGCAGGGAAAAACATGAAAAATACTTTCTTTCTGGCTTCAAATATCTAGAAACTTAGGAAATAGAAAGGAATTGGGCACAGAGAAACAATTTGGAAGAAAGCTGGAGCCAGGCTTTCCAGGACCCCTCCTTCCTGCCCCTCCAGATTAGAAAAATGATTCCCTGGCTCTGCAAGTAAGATTCTGCTATATGCTGGTGGAATGAGGCCTTAAAAATTCATAAAGTCGAGCTGGAGAAAATATTAAAAGTATATATTCCTCCCACCCATCAATTTCTAGCCTGAGATTTGTGCCAGCCACGTGTGGACACATACAACTTTCCTGAGAATCTTTGTCAGCACATTGCTCCATTATGAACTGATTAAAAACTTTAGTGTTGAGCCAATCCATTCCTAGGCAACAGCTTTGTCCCTGCATAAGAAGCTGGTAGGAAGAGATTAGGACCACTCTCAGAAGTCATTGCCGAGTTCGGAAATACCGACAGAACTAATGAGCCCAAGTTAGCATGAGGAGGACTATAGAATGCTTTAAATTGTTCTAGTTCAGTGCAAGATAGTCGGAGGAGGAAAGGAAAAAGGAGGCAAGTTCTATTCTACTAGAGGTTGCCAACCAAATTCTCCGAGTCTCAGGAGACGAGCTGGAGTAGGAGTGTGTCACTCCTCCTACAGCGCTCCCTAATACTCTACTCCTGAAGACTTCTGCTGACTGCTGTAATTCTACCGCAGGTGCTGCAACTACTGAAATCACCAGGGATGTTATGTTGGGTCAGATGGATGGTTAGGGATGGGGAGTAGCTCATAACTTTTCCTGCCTATTTTGTTGGCTTTGGCTTTTGGAAGATACACATCTACAGGTAAGACAAAGAAAGAAGGCAAAAAATACATAAACGCATGTGTATTCACATACAATTAGTAATGTGCAAAGTACTTAAGACAGGCTTTTAAAGTCCACTTATAAATACAAATTAAAAACTGGAACAGAAAAGGTGGAAAAAACTGGCAGCGAAGCAACGAAGACTCCACATTTCTTCTGAGACCTCATCACTCTCTCACCACTGGCCATATTCTGCTTCACACTGCTAGTTTTGTTTTTCAAATGTAGGCCTAATAAGTCCCTTTAGAGCAAGGACTCTCAGCATAGGCACTGGGTAGGTCATCAGTAGCTGTCTGTCATTTATTATGTAGCCCCTCCTGTCACTCCAGTAAAACTTTAAGTGCATCCAGGGGTCCTTCCTTCAGATGTCTGACATCATGGGATATTTAATGAGAAAGCTTAATCCCTATCTGTAATGCTCTTCTAAAAATTTGGGACAGGGTGGGTCTTCAACATCTTACAGTATCTTTTGATTGCTCTCAGCAGAGGTCTGACCGGTTCTATGAATCAGCCCTGGCTTGGTGGCCAGTTAGTGTCATACTCTATGAAACAGTACCCCAGTAAATCACACTCGACTCTTACCCAGAATGTGCTTCCCAGTATCATACAAAAAACGAAGTTTTGTTAAAATTTTCTCAATGATTCTGTATCCAGTTGGTGTGAGCAAAGACCCCCAAATGCTATTAAACTCCTTAGTGATGTGAACCAGATGGAAAATAAACAAAAGAATTCACAACTCACGTTAGACTGAATTGAATGTCTTTAATTTCACACAATGAATAACATATGAATAGGATTAACTTTTTTTTTTTTAATAGTTAAGTGCTGTATACTGTGCTAACCTGATCTGGTAGCGAAAAAGACTGAGCTTTCTTTTAGAAAAAAATGTTTAAAACCCAACATCTAAGACCATGGGGGAGCATGACAGTAAGCATGCTAGATGGAGCTACGCCTCAAATAACAGCAAGTCCATGTTCATTTTAAATGTACAAAAATGCTTTATGAATAAAAACTGTTACAAAAAGAACATTTCAAACAATGTACAATTTTTCTTGCCTCTATATTCAATAAAATACAAATACATTTTTTGTTCTAAAATATGTTTACATACAATCAAAGTAGAACATGCAAATTACACTTTAAAAAAGGCTTTTAAAAACCACTTATGAATACAAACTAAAAATTAGCCAGCACGACTTGTAAGACAATCTTGTGCCCCATTTTTTTTCTTTTGAAATATATATGTACATATTTAACACGTCATGTGCATTTATTATTATTTAAGAAATAGATTTTTTTTTAAAAAAAGGAAGAAAAAAAGACCAATCTAGGGTGGAACTGCCCTTCCATGTTGATCAGCTGGCAGCTCCTTTCAATTTCCCCCCTTTAGTGTTTATTACACCTGGGCAAGTGGGCAATAGATATCCAGGAAGTTTCTTCCTTGGTTGATATGTGCTTCTAAGACTGTTCCCCAAATGAGTGAGTCCAACAGGGAAAGAAGACTCATCAGTGGGGTGAACTCTCCAAGAAACAAGAGGCAGAGAGGACCTTGTATTGTGGAAAGAAACTTTAAGAAACACCAAGAAAATGCTACGGTATATTACAGTTCGAGTTTCTAGGCACTGTGATGACATTATCTGTAAGCTCTGGCATTTGGACCACTGTGATACTATAGGGTAATGTTGAGAATAACGTCTATATTTATCTACTTTTACATAACGAGAAGGACTGAAAATCCTGCAACGTAACACTTAAATGGCTTTTGAGGCATTTCAGCTTCTGCCACCCCTCTCTCTCTATGCTACGGTTGGTATTTAAAGGCTTTGGAAATATGTATATAGACTTTAGACAGTTTCCAGGTAAATCTTTCTAGTGATAGGAAAAAAAAAATATTCTCCAAAAGCTCATTATCTGAATACTGTTGGGTAATAAGCTAGGAGTGGGATTTTCTACTTAAGTCTTAAAACCAAATCCTTTATGATCTGCATGTAGTACATCACCTTATTCTATAATTCTGTCACCACTTGCTTATCATATTTATAGACCCAGCAATGTGCAGAACACAAATTCTGACTGCCATTGAATATGGCCTCCTACTCCGGACAGCAGCCAAGTTAACATGCTAATCTTCTGCTAGCCCTTAGTCACCTTCTTTGGGCTGTCAGTGGCTGCTGATTCCTGGTCCTGCCAAGTCACAAACCAGCCCCTGACATGCTTTTCTTTTCTTTCCATTGACCTTTCTTCCTTGGGTTTTAGCCAGAGCCAGGCTATTTGAGGAAGTTAAACTTCTGCTCCTCTCACTTGAGATCAGGGGTGGAAAAGCAAGTGGCTCTTCCAGATACTTAGTCAGGTGGATTAAAGATCCATCATCACCTTCAAGGAAGCTTTTGTATCTAGATTTCATCCTTTTCTCATCACTAACCAGACTCCTTACAAGTGGGTCCATATCTGCTTACTGAAGGCAAGTAATCCAGAAAACAAAAGAAAAATAAATAAAAATCAAGGGATTTCTCTTATAAAATATTTTGTGAATCTGTATAAGGAGTACCATGTATCCCAAATGTCCTCTTCTAAAAAAGAAATGCAGCCCCAGAAGGCATTGTTGGGTGGCCAGAGACCTCCACAATCTGGGTCGGGAGAGCTGGGTTTTCTTTCCAGCTCTGCAACCAACTTTGGGCTGTGAAGCTGCATTGGCCCACTGCTGAGCTGAGTTTGGACAAGTGGGGAGAGGCTAACGGAATCGGGATAGTTAGAGAATCAGGAAATGGTTGTACTGATGAGATGAGTTAGGTTAATGAAAAGCAGCAGAAAAAAATAACATGATACTGAGAGAGGAACTGGGTGGTGGAGAGGAGGCTGTGTAGGTGATGGAACTTGCTTCTGCCTCCCAGCGGCTGTTTAGCATGCCTCAGCTTTGGTCCTCTGCAGTATTCCAATCTAAGGTCATACATGTAGAGGGTTCGAATTTAACTCACATGACCACTGTAGACCAGAATTCACGTGTAAGTTGCAACTCTGCTGTTAAATCTCTTGAAATATCTTTCAGAGGTCTGGAAATTATAACATACTCAAAGGTGTTTTGGGAACTTCTCACCTACTAGAGGTTAATGCCAACTAAATTTTGGGTCCTTATTAAAGGAGTCTGCAGAGTGCCTGCCAGCTCATCCTCCTCTGCAAGAAGGTTTATTCTGCTTATAGACGTGGTTGGAGAGATAGTACAACACAGGAAGGAAGAAGCGCAAACGAAAGAAAGAAGTGATTTCAAAATCCAGTAAGAAGAGAAACCTCTTTATGGCTGAATTGGAATGAAAATGGTTGCTGTTTCATAGCAAAGGTGGGGGTGGGGTGGGAGGGGCTAATTTAAACCTTCCTTTCAGGTGACTTTGGAACCACTCAGACATAGCTTGGGAATGACGAATCAAAAATGGCTGCTTTGATTTTGCTGTTCAACTCCTGTGAAATGCCAAAGGTCAACCTAGGTCACAAACTCAGTACCTAGGATGTAAGCTTTAAAGAACAGGAGAAGGCAGTCCTTTAAACTTACATATTGCTAGGATTAAATGCGATTGACCTCGTGGGCAGCAAATGATGTGAAGTCCATGGTGACAGACCAGAAGAGTATGACTATGCGGGTAATTTCAACCAACTGCTGGTGCCATGATGGAGCAGTGATGTATGCAGGCATATTAACTTGGAACTTAAAAATTTACTCACATAAATACTCCATCACTTATTCTTTTATGTTGCCAATAAAAATCCATCTCTAAGGAAATAATATTGTGTTCTGAAGTGATAATACAATTTCCAGCTGGTCCCAACTTCCTGTAAAGAAACTTAATTTGGAGGTAAACCAGATAGTCTAATTACCATCAGAAAATTTAATTCTCTCTCTCAGTGTCTCTTTCTGTAATCTACCATGCCAGGTGTTTGATGTCTTGGGGAAGGTAAGAGGGAGTAAGGGAGGAAATTGAAAATACTTATTTGAAATTTCCACAATCTGACTTTTAGAAAACATCTACGGAAATGGAATTCTTCATATTCATTTTGAGCCTGCTTAACATATTTTATTCGGGCTGCGGAAATGGATAATAGAGATGGAATATCTGTCCACGCTAAACCAATGGCTAGAGTACAACTTCGATGAGAAATGTACAGCTGAAATTGACCATTTAAAAGACGATTTGTCACACACAGTTTGCATCCATGCAGACTGATAGATTTATAATTACATTATGTACAATAATGTTTTAGTTTATTAAGGCAACCACAATTTGGATACTTTGTCCAAGGTGGCTTGATATAATTGAAGTGGTGATACCCTTTGAGCATTTTCCTTTTTTTTTTCCAGATAAGAACACTTACTCCCATTTGCTTTTAAGAAATAATTTTCAAGGGATAATGGACTTCTACTGTCTTTTTGTTTCCTTTTTTTGAACAACCTATGACAATCATTTGTATGAAAAAGATCAGGTAACAAGGCATTGCTAGACACTTGTCTTTCTGGTGGGTCTGGGGTTTCAGTTTTTGGTGGTTTGTCAGTTATTCCATTTGCTGCGTGGTATTAAAACCGTTTTATTCTGCCTATGCTCTGCTGATATGTTTTAAGTATAAAAATAGCCTGGATGACATCTGGGTCAACATATCCTTGGCTGCTCTGCGTCACTTATTAAAAAGGTTTTATCGATACTGAGTATGTTTCACAATGATTGGGATTCAAAGCCAGCTTCTTGGAACAGCATGCCAAGGGTGAACTTTACAGCACAGGTTAAGGATTACAATATTTAAATGTGTACCAAGAAAAACAAAAAAGGCAACAAATAAGTTAATGAAAAGGTGCAAGTACAATGGGCAAAGGAAAAGTAGGAACAGACAATGCTAAAAATCAGTGTATGTGCGATAGAGGAGGCACACAAAACATGTATGCGGGTCTAAGGTCGCCTATCACTAGAATTTCACCTTCTGATCACACAATTCCATCTGAGAAACTGTACGGTTAAGGGAAAGATTCAGGTCACCCGAAGATGACGTTGGTACCCAAAGCTTAGCAGAGCTTGAAAACCAAAAGAAAAAAAAAAAAAAAAAACCAATTAAATGGAAACGGGTTACAGCAATGCCAGTTGAGCAATCTGCAGCTTTTCTCCTCTTGGAATGTTTCCTAATTTAGGGTGTTTCCCTTTTGATTTCCCTGGCCAGCAAATGAAATCCGAGTCGAGGGCGCACCGTGGCAGCAGGAGGTCAAGAGAGCGCCACCAGCCTGCTCCTCCTGGGGGCCTTCTGGGGCCTGCGGAGGATCCAGCCGCACTGGAGCGCCGCGTGGTGGGAGCTGCGGTGAGGCTCAGACAAGCTGCTTCCTCTGGTGTCTCCCTGCTTTGCTTTCCCAAGAGCTCCGGATGGCTCAGCCCCGTCTTCTGGCCCGATTCTGCCTGCCTGTCTGGCTTCTGGAGAGAAGGGCGTGGGTGTCCCTGCAGCAGGGGGATTCCGCCCCCCGCCCCGGCTCACTGCGCTTCCCACGTGTCAGTTCCCTAGGCCCCAGGTGCAGACGCCCAGACCCGCCCTAGGGAAGGACCTCGCTCTCACTCCCTCGGGACTTCCTCTGCCTTTTGGCTTTCACCTCCTCTTCCTGGGGAAGGGGCTGCTGCGGGGGCGGCTGCTGTGGGGGCTGAGTGGGAGTCTGCGGTTTGTGTTTCCTCTTTCCGCCTCGGGGGGTCTTGGGTAGAGCGGGTGGCGGGGGTAGGGGCGGTGGTGGAGGGGGTGGCAGGGGCGGCGGCGGGGGCGGGGGCAAGGGCGGCGCCTCCCGGGCCATGTGGATGACGGCCTCGATGGTGGCCATGATGGTGTCTTGGCTGGTGGTGGGCTCCAGCACCAGCGGGCTCAGGCTGGGCTTCTGGCCCCTTTTGCTGGGCAGGTCGATGCATTTTTCCAGCACCGGCATTTGGTCCCTGGAGTCCTCATCGAACTGGGTGGGCTGCTTCCTGGGACGCCCGCGCCTCTTCTTGACGAAGTTGTTGCCTGTTTTTGATTGTCTCTGCAGCCGCTTGGCCTTCAGGATCTTGTTCACGTGGTCCAGGTTCTTCTTGGTGGACAGGATCTTGGTGTAGTTGCACATTTTCCGCACTTCGCACTGGATGGCTTCGATCTCCCTCCGCTTGAACCTCTTCTTCAGGGAGGAGCCGACTGCAGGAGGGGAAGAGAGAAGAAATTGAGCACAAGATGCGAGCTGCCTTCAACCCAGCCTCTTCACTGACAGCTAGCATTCTACTTGGCTATAAAGATTATGGAGAATTAATGCTATGGGTGTGTCTCCATGCCCAAGATGTATTCTTCCTTTTTATTTATTGAAATAAACATTTGTCATATATTTATTGTGTATACAAAGTACTTCTATTTACATTATTTCAGTCCTCTCAACAATTATGTGAAATATTGTCATTCCCTTTTTAAAGTTGTGGAAACTGAGGCTCACGCTGTTGAAGTAAACCGGCCTAGAGCCATGGGACTCAATGTCAGAATCACAATATCAATCTTCCCATTATTTCTCTGATTATAGAGGTAATTTTTTTATTCAGCCCTTTTGACATTTGATCTGATTCAATTTAGCACAGGATTAGATTTTTTCTTTTTTGTAGGTGTTGGATGAATAAAAAGGCACATGGGCCTCCATATGAAGTAATCGGGATCATGCTGATGTACTATCGATCTCGTGGAAGAGATGCTTTGGCCAGATCAAGAATAAGAATGTGTAACTGAAACTTTATTCCTAACCCTTCTCTGCTGACACAGGGAGGCTTATTTCCTGGAGCACTCTAGTTGTGATGGTATCATCTCCATGCTTTTTCCCCAGTGTTCTGGACTAGTCAAGTTGCCTGATGGCATTCGGTTAACCAGGTCCTTCATAACCAGTTCATCCTCTGGGAACCTCAGGGGAAGTATCAGCCAGATGTTTCTGAATCATTTACAGTACCCTTCCCAGGCTGGTGTTTGCAAAGAGCTCTTTTCATGTCCTTTTGGCCAGCTGCATCTCTATTTTATGAGCCGAACTTCTTGTCTCAGGAAGTCCTGCACTGCCGCCACTAAATGGCCTTCAGAACTGCTTAGTTTTGAAGTTCAGACACCATAAAGTGTGAATGGCTTCAAGACATAGCCATTCCTCCTGCAGAGCATTCTTTCTCCTTGTGTTGTTCATGAGCAGGCATATATGTGATACCTGTGTGCACATGCACACATACACACAAATGGGCACAAACACTCACACAGACTCCATGGCCCCACCTTCAAGATGGTCACTCCCCCTGGCTGTTTATAAACATTAGAAGTGTGTCTTCACTGAGTTCTTTGCTGCTGTGATTTACGCTACATGTTCAACTCCAAAGAAGCCCATGTGGAAGACCCACGCATATAGGGGAGTGTGTTGCATTTTGGCATTTTGGTTTATTGCTTCCTCTCATCATTTCTTTTTTGTACCTACTAATAAAGAAGCAGAATAAATATCTTAAGAGGGGAGGAAAAAGATGCTTAAAACATGGATACCATTCTCACTTATTCTTGGGTACTCCCACTTGATTCTTTCCCCTGCTTTGTCCCATTTCTCTCTCATGCTGTGCCCAGCAGATTGCCAGGAGGGTTTTATTTGAAGTTATTTACACCCCCAGCTTCATGGAGTGGGAAGAGCTGAGTCCCACAGGCCAGGTCAAAATGTTACTGCTTTTGGCCAAAGGTCAGTAAGACTGACCGAGCAATGAACAACTGCTGAATGATCTTTAAAATAAGTTAAAAAGATCAAAATAGAACAAAGCCAGAGTGAGCTTCTGACTATAAAAATAAAATTTTTGTAGTTAGTTTTGTAAAAGAAAAGGGTTGCCTGGTTGTAAGTTATCAGAGGCAAGAACCAATGCTTGTCTGTCTTTATGTTTCTCAGAGGGCCTAGCAGGGTGCCTTGTATATAAAAGAGATTTAAGAATTGTTTCTGGACTGACAAATCAGGCTAATCAGGTCTTGTAGTCGTATTCTTTAGAATAGTTCTAGTTTGGCTTTTTAAAGTGATCACTGCAAATATAGTGATACTAAAACTGAGCCCACCTCCGTGTCAGTGACAGATAACTTATCTTGTCCATATAGCTCATGAGTCAATGGCAACTAGTCAGTAATGCTCCACAAAACCTGACACTAATCCAAGCAAAGGTTTCATTTACAGTTTGCCCTCTCTTTAGTTTATATCATCCATAGAGGAAGCAAATGCTATGTGATATATTATATAATATAGCATGAAAGTATAAAATAAATTACCTTGCTGACATGTAATATAGCATAGAGGAATAAAATAAATCAATTAGTTGGCAATACTGTATTTGACCAAGTTAAGCTTGATGGAAATACTCCAGGAGCTGCAGGTCATCTGGAGAAAATATAAGCAATGGATTGTCACCCTATGTGTTGTCTTTTAAAAATGAAATGCCAAAATAAATAAATAAACCACCAAAACAAAATCTCCAAACCGAAACAAAGAAATAAACAAACAGAAACCTAGCAGATAGCAGATAATTCCATATCCAAAACTATGTGCTAATTTTTTTTTGGGGGGGGCGCTCTTTACAGTGAAACTGTATAATTTTTTATTACATCTTTGCATTAAAAAAGATTATAAAATAAAAATTAATTCTGATAGTGTAACTCTACCAAACAATGCTAAAAAATGACATAACCAGCTCTTCTGTGCCCACCATTCACATTTAACAAATGTTAACTTTTTGTCATTTTTTTCTCAATAAGAAAGACAACATTGCAGATTGAGCTAAGTCATGACTCCCTTTCTCCATTCCTTTCCCTTTCTTTTTTATGCTTGTTTTAATCCTTTTGCTGCATATACATGAGCTCCTATTGGTAATGATGTAAGAAACTGGGAACATTCGCATATTGTTGGTGGGAGTGTAAATTGTTATAATCATTTTGGAGCGTGATTGGGCAATAACTGTTAAGAATTAAAGATGTGCACATTCATTGTCCCAGCAATTTCATGTCAAGCTTGCCTTTCTTTACTCATATGTAACAGGAGGCAAAAGTCATACAATGATGTTCCCTGAAGCTCAGTGTATGACACAGAAAACTGAAAACAATCTAATTAATCAACTGTGATATATAAAGCAATGCAATATTATACATCGATTAAAATGAATAAACTGCACATAAATATCTCAACATGGTTAAATCTCGTTTAAAGAGTTGAGTAATAAAGGAAATCAGAAAAATACGCTTAGGTATACTACTTACATAACTTTTAAAACACACGTATTTCCTGAACTTTTATTTTATCTTCAAAGTCCTATTGTGGAGGTTTAAAGTGACTGCTGTGTAGGAGATCAACTGTGAGTCAAAGACTTGGTGGATGACTCACCTACTGCTCAATGTCTACTTCCCCCAAAGCAACCTCATAGAGTTTTAGTAAACCTCTAGAGTAGGGTTGTCCAACAGAGTTTTCTGAGATGGTGAAAATGTTCTGTATGTGTGTGCTGCCCATAGGCAGCCATTAGCCACTTGTGGCTACTAAGCACTTGAAATGTGACTGGTGTAACTGAGAAACTGAATTTTTAATAGCACGTAATTTTCATTTAAATAGCTACAGTGTGCCTAGTGGCTACCCTATGGGGCAGCACAGCTCTAGAACTAACTGCCTTGAAATACAGAGGACCAAGGACACACAGGGATTGCTTCTGTAAAATGTGGACTGTGGGAGACTAGGCAAACAAACTGGTGTTTTCAACAAATAAATTGTAGGGCAGGGGGAAGATGAAACTGCTCCTTCAAAGAGACTAAAGAGATAAAGTGACCTTATTTGGATGACAATTTGAACAAACTGTTAAAAGAGATCATGAAATAAATGGAAATTTGAACATTGGGCATTTCATGATATAATTACTGTTAATTTTCATAAGTGTGATAATTGCATTGTGATCACGCTTTTTGAGTGCCTATCTTTTAGAGATGCATACTAAAACATTTATAGATGAAATCACATACTATCATCTGGGGTTGACTTTAAAATATTAAGAAAGGGAGGAAGTAGGTGGAAATATTGATGAAACAAGATTGACTGTAAGCTAATATTGTCGAAGCTGAAGTTGGTATTGATGGGTACATGAGGTTTAATGCTATTCTGCCTACTTTGATGTATGCCTGACATTTTAAAATAATTAAAAAATTATTTTAAAAAATGGCAATAAAACATCTTAAAATCTTAGGGCTGGACAGTGCTCTAATTTCCACCCTCTCAGGGCTTTATTTCACCTATTTTTTTTTTTGAGATGGAGTCTCAGTCTGTCACCAGGCTGGAGCGCAGTGGCATGATCTCAGCTCACTGCAACCTCTGCCTCCTGGGTTCAAGAGATTCTCCTGCCTCAGCCTCCAGAGTAGCTGGGACTACAGGTGCATACCACTATGCCTAGCTAAGTTTTGTACTTTTAGTAGAGATGGGGTTTCACCATATTGGCCAGGATGGTCTTGATCTCCTGACCTCATGATCCACCCGCCCTGGCCTCCCAAAGTGCTGGGATTACAGGTGTGAGCCACTGTACCTGGCCTATTTCACCTAAATATTTTTTGAAAAATAAGAGGAAATGTTCTCAATGAAGGTCGTGCATTCACCACCTCCCTAGAAGGCTTACGCTTGTAGCTGCCCTCCTGGCTTAATGGCATAGAAAATGAATGAGTTCTCTGTGTTTCATGCTTTGACCAACAGCATAAATAAAAATATGCCATAAGCCAATCTCCACTGATGTCAGCAGGTATTATGACTTAATATCCCTCTTTGTTTTGCACATTATAATCTTTGGAGTTTTTCACATCTACCAAACATCTGAATTTCATTTATTTTTCCTTTATGCTTATTATATAAACTTTCAGTTCAGATTTGTTATCCCTCCATGTGAACAATGGAAGAATATGGTATAGAAGAAAGGACTCTGTGTAGAAGAAGCTGGAAAACAGTGGGAACAGAGATAAATCCCTTAACCCCTCCATCTCCGTTTCTTCATCTGTTACACTGGAAGGCTGAAGCAGATGCTCTTGGAAGTTCCCTTCTACATTTAGATTGCCATATTTCTTTTCTATACTCATGATCAATTGTGCCTCCAAATGTGGGGTGGCTTTCTAAAACATTTATTTAATTGAATAACTGTGAAATC